CAGGAAGTCGATCCCCCAGCCGGTGTGTTTCTCCAGGTTATCAAACTGGTCCTGGAACAGCAGAAAAAGAAGAACATTTCCTGGTTCACCCGCCATCTCACAGCTCAATGGCGCTGCAGTCACCTGACGCCATCCAGGTGAGCAGCCAATCCTCCTTACCTGGAGCACCTGCTGCCCCAATACTCTGGATTGATGGCTGTGTGAGGCCCCAGCTGGTCCTCATGGGGACCGAAGGGTAATGCCCCCGAGGGGAAGGAGCCCCAATAGGGGGTTAGGGTATGTATCCCCACAATGACAGCCTGACAACATGTGTGTGTGTGTGTGTGTGTGTGTGTGTGTTCGCCTGACAATGCATCTATATAACTAATCTGCCTTCCCTATAACTAAGAACCCTTCAGTATCTGGCTGCATTCCTCGAGGGTCGGTCTCCATGATCAGCGTTTTGGTGTCTCTGTAGGTTTGGTATCAGCTGATCTGTGGTGTATAGATCTATAGACCTGTAGACGTGACTACAGCTGGTTTTAAATCAGGACTGGATCTATATGTTCTATTCTATGCTCTAAATACAAAAGACAAACAGGCCTGACGCTGAAGTGACTTTAAATTGTTCTGATTCACATTAGAATAGAGGAAAGTCATCACCATCCATCTTTTGATGTCATCAAGTGAGTCCAGTCGACCATCTTGTTTTGAAGGGAAGTAGATTTGACAGTCGTCTGCATATAAATGAAGCTGCACAGGAAGCTGTGTGAATCAGAACGTAGCGGCAGGCTAACCCTAACCCCAGAACTATTATAAAGCAGTTATTAGAAAGGCTGTGCATGTCAGCAGCATCAGGAATATTTTTGCTCTTGTGGTTTTCTCAACTTTCTGGGAACGATGCTAAGACTGTCAGGAAGTCAGAGGGTTTTCCAGAGTTTTTTTTTTTTTTCTCATTTGATTTGAATCTTTGGGTTCAGCAGAACCAGAACCACCGATTCATTTGGGCAGCAGATCAACGCTGGAGCTGCAGAAGCTTTGCAGGTTAGCAGCTCAAATCACGTTCCTCTGATTTGATGTCTAGCAGGAGAACAGCGCCTCCACCTGACGGGAGGAGGAGCAACGGGATCAGGTGTGTTCAGCTTTAACCTCTGACCTCACAGCAGCAAACAGCCGCTGCTGCCCGGGGTTTTGTCTTGCAGGCCCCCTGCTGACATGGAAACCAGTTCGGGTTGAAACTGCAGTCATGTGCAGGACTGAGCTTCCAGATTATTGATTACTGATCAGGAGATATTCCATGCCGTAAACCCGCAGCGCCCCGCATCCTCCATGATGCTGCAGAGCCAGACGCTGTCGTCACCCACCGTGTTGCTATGGCAGAAGGAGGCGCGAGGGCCGCTGCCACGCGCTCATGTGAGAACATGCACACCTACCCACAGCTCGGTGCCCCAGTTGCAGCTCATGGTTCCGATCTGCAGCGGCCCCGCGTCCCGGTACCGAACCTCGTTCAGTGTGACCTGCTGCTGCTGCTGCTGGCGGCTGCGGCGCGCATCCTGCGGACGGAGCGGACCGTGTCCCCGCGCGGCTGTCCGTGGACCAGTATCGGTCTCGCGCCGCGCGTCCCCTCTGTGGACTCTGTCGTCACAGAGAGATGCTGAGGCTCGGTGTGGACAAATTCACTTGTTTCCGTGTGGCGCATGCGCAATGACGTCATTGGTGGAGCGAACAATCACAGGCATATCACCTCAGCTGAGATCTATGCACTTAACGTGAAAGGTCTCCAGGGGTTAGGGGTCAACACCAGTCATTCATTCTAGATCAGCGGAGCCCAAACCGTCCGGCACCAACATCCAGTTGTTCTCCCAGCAGCCGCTGAGATCCGCCTCATGACACCAAGACACAGAAACTGGAAATGAAACCATGTTGATCATTTCTATACAAATATCCATCAGTTCTATCAGAAATGATAAAATGATAGAAAACCTGATGCAGGGACCAGGTTACTGGTTTCAGTAGGTTACTGGTTTCAGTAGGTTACTGGTTTCAGGAGGTTACTGGTTTCAACAGGTTACTGGTTTCAGTAGGTTACTGGTTTCAACAGGTTACTGGTTTCAGTAGGTTACTGGTTTCAACAGGTTACTGGTTTCAGTAAGTTACTGGTTTCAGCAGGTTACTGGTTTCAGTAGGTTACTGGTTTCAACAGGTTACTGGTTTCAGCAGGTTACTGGTTTCAGCAGGTTACTGGTTTCAACAGGTTACTGGTTTCAATAGGTTACTGGTTTCAGCAGGTTACTGGTTTCAGCAGGTGACTGGTTTCAACAGGTTACTGGTTTCAGCAGGTTACTGGTTTCAACAGGTTACTGGTTTCAGCAGGTTACTGGTTTCAACAGGTTACTGGTTTCAGCAGGTTACTGGTTTCAGTAGGTTACTGGTTTCAGTAGGTTACTGGTTTCAGTAGGTTACTGGTTTAAGTAGGTTACTGGTTTCAGCAGGTGACTGGTTTCAGCAGGTTACTGGTTTCAACAGGTTACTGGTTTCAGCAGGTTACTGGTTTCAGCAGGTTACTGGTTTCAACAGGTGACTGGTTTCAGCAGGTTACTGGTTTCAGTAGGTTACTGGTTTCAGCAGGTTACTGGTTTCAACAGGTTACTGGTTTCAGTAGGTTACTGGTTTCAATAGGTTACTGGTTTCAACAGGTTACTGGTTTCAGTAGGTTACTGGTTTCAGCAGGTTACTGGTTTCAACAGGTTACTGGTTTCAGTAGGTTACTGGTTTCAACAGGTTACTGGTTTCAACAGGTTACTGGTTTCAGCAGGTTACTGGTTTCAACAGGTTACTGGTTTCAGCAGGTTACTGGTTTCAGTAGGTTACTGGTTTCAGTAGGTTACTGGTTTCAACAGGTTACTGGTTTCAGTAGGTTACTGGTTTCAGTAGGTTACTGGTTTCAGTAGGTTACTGGTTTCAGTAGGTTACTGGTTTCTCAGTCACAAGCTGGTTGCAGTCAGTGATGGTGGATGTGAACTTTGACCTCAATATGCTCAATACAAGCAGAGATTAGGTGAAAACATTCAGTCCGTTACGATATCAGGTTTCCAGGCTTGATATGTATTGATTATTAATGAGCCTCTCATGAACTCAGCGGCGGCTGATTGGCTGCTTTAAACTCCTGATCTGCTGTCAGTCGGTCTTTCTTAACAATAATTACTGATCATATTCATTTTAACATGTTTTGTTGATATTTTATGATTCTTTAATGAAGCTACAAATGTTTAGGATCTTAGTGAATATTTTGATAAGCCTGTCAGAACAGGAAGTTCTGCTCTCAGCTTCCTGTTGGTCTTCAGTTTGTCACCTGCTGCAGAGACTCAAAACCTGATTGATGTATTGATCACCGCTGGTCCAAGTCATCAGTCAGAAACATCAAGAGTCATTTTAAAAACTGATCTACAGATCTAGAGCTCAACCCATCGACCCTGCATGCTTCCTGTTTTAACTGGATTCAGATGCTTCCAGTTCAGCAAACATGGACTCAGAGAATGAGACGACAAGAGGACTCAGAGGACTAGAGGATTCAGAGGACTAGAGGATTCAGAGGACTAGAGGACTCTGAGGTTTCTCTACATTCCTCTCCGCGGCTCCTGCATTCTTTTTTATTTCTTGTTCTTGACTTATTTGGTGTCCAGATCCTCTGAGTTGCCAGGTGCTTCACTTCTCCAACTCACAAGGACTAAACAGTGACTAGTTACTTTATAGATCTTCCTCCTGACACTGATAATATTCAGGAACTCAGAATCTTGTCTGTATCTTATCAATAATAGTTTATTATTATTAATAAAATAATAATAGCAGCTATTAAACTTTCATTAACTCACATTCAGGGTTTTTATATTTTATTGCTGATTAATATTTCAGTTTTTCATGTTTTCATTGGCCGTCAGTGGAGAATCCCAACAGCTTTAAAATAATAATCTTACTTATTGATTTGATCTTAGTTGCTATTTGCTGATGCTGACATGTTTACCCATAATCCTTTGCTGTCTGATCATCTTTAATAACCGTTGAGGAGATTTAGATCAAGTCGCTCTGTAACTTCGCCTGCCTGCCACACACACACACACACACACACACACACACACACACACACACACACACCCAACTAATCTGATAGTCATATTTTTGGACTGTGGGAGGAACCTGGAGAACCTGGAGAACCTGGAGAGAACCCGCCATGCACAGGGAGAACATGCAGACTCCACACAGAAAGAGCCTGGGCTGGGAATCGAACCCAGGACTTCTGGGTATTTCCAAGATGGAAGAAAATATAAATTAAAATGTAATAAACAGTTTATTGGTCGGTGATCAAAGGCATGATTTTTACCCATAAAACCATCTGTTTTATGCAGATAGAAGTTAGCTTGGAATAACATGGAGATAATAAAGAGCAAGTGAAGATATAAAAAAATCTAATCAATTCCTAAATACCCCCACAAAACGATATTAATTTCATAATTATGTATAAAGGTTTCTATGAAATGACTTTCTGCAAAAGATATTCTAAATATCAATTCCTGGGTTTCGTGATGAGATTTTGAGACAATACAGTTTTAAAATTGCGACTTCACTGATGTTTTCTAACAAAGATATTCAAATCATCCCAGGTTCATTTAGTCCAGTTGCCAAACTTCATGCGATTCTGATTCAACCAAATTATTGACATCGTCTCAAACATGAGCTCCTGTGTCCAGGAAGTGATGTCACAGCTGCTCTGGCTGAAGGCAGCAGCGTTTGGTCCATCTAGATCTGAATTCTGGATTTAGTGACGTAGAAACGTTTCATTCACACGTCTCATTATCTGCTGGACACTAAAAGCTTCAGGTTTAAACCTCTGAGATTTAACTTGATGGTTTCTGAGTCAAACCTTCAGCTGTTCTTCCTTCCCACTGTGGCCACTTGCTTGCTGAGGAGGAATCGGGTTCTGCTGGTTCGGCGATGAAGTCATCGCAGCAAAAAGACTACTCAACTGAAAAAAACTCCAAACTTTATTTACAGACAGGAAACAAACATGGACTGTTTACAGACGGCAGGTGTCGTGGAACGCCTCCAGGGTCCTAAAGTCCCTCCATGTTGGAGGCAGACCGTCCTGCAGGAACCGGCCACAGCGCTGACACGAAGACTGGAACAGCTTGATGTAGCTGCGGAGCCACGTCTGTGGACAGACAGGTGGGACAGACAGGTGGGACAGACAGGTGAGACAGAGAAACAAGTAAAGAGGCAGCAGATGAAAAGCGACTCACCATGAAGGAGCGGACGACCACGTCGGGCATCTGGGGCAGCTGGTAGTGCAGCAGGGCTGTTGTAGCATGATCAGTTACCTAGCAACCACACAACCAATCAGAAAGCTGAACACTCAAAGTACCTGACCAGAAACATAGAGGAAGGACAGACTTACTTTCTGGAAAACCAGGTACTGAGACTTTGTCCAAATGTCCAGCTGGGACAAAGACACAAGCATTAGCGTGGAGACATGATTGGAACCTGCCCGGGTTACCATGAAGACGCTGCCCAGGTGAGCCTCACCTTTCCGTCCTCACTGTGGACATTCTCATTAAAACCTCTGACGACGGTTCTGTCGATGAACAGAGAACGCATCACAACGATCGCCTTCAGCACCTTCCCAAGGGTCACCTGAGGACAAGAGAGCTGAGACAGACGCCTCCTCCACCCCCGAGACGCCTCCTCCACCCCCGAGACGCCTCCTCCACCCCCGAGACGCCTCCTCCACCCCCGAGACGCCTCCTCCACCCCCGAGACGCCTCCTCCACCCCCGAGACGCCTCCTCCACCTCTGAGACGCCTCCTCCACCCCCGAGACGCCTCCTCCACCCCCGAGACGCCTCCTCCACCCCCGAGACGCCTCCTCCACCCCGAGACGCCTCCTCCACCCCCGAGACGCCTCCTCCACCCGTTCCCTGGGCTGTAATCAGCTCTGACGTACCAGCAGCACAGCTGACGTCCCGTTGGGTCTGAAGAGCTCGATGGTCATATCCGGAAACATTCTGCCGACCCGGGAAATGACATCATCCACATACCTGCAGAGGGAGAAGCAGAGGCCAGTGGCAGGTGCGGCTACAGGTGCAGCTACAGGTGCAGCTACAGGTGCGGCTACAGGTGCGGCGTCCGGGTGACCCGTCACTAGGACTCACTGCGGCGGCAGCACCAGCGTACTGGGCTGGACTTTGGGCCGTCTCTTGGCCGATGCTCCCATCTGATTGGCCGATCGCTTCAGCGACTGCTGGTTCAGCAGACTGGAGGCCAACCCGGCGTGGTACTGCAGCTGAAACCAGAACCGGAACCAGCATGCACGGTGCTGCTTGTTGTCATGGTTACAGGACAGGAGCCGGGACATCAAGTGTAGCCGAGGTGCCGTTGCCATGGCAGCAGCCTGAGTAAAGGCCCGGATGTAACCGGCAGAACCCGACCTCTGGGTCGGGCTGCGTTGGACCAGGTGGACACCAGAGGGAAAGACCTGAGTGAAGTTGGTCCCCCACCTTCTCCAAATCAGACAAAACTGATGTCAGACGTTTGTGTTGCTATCATTCTAAAGATATTAAGAAAAATATTCTCCAGGGGTCATCAGAGGTCAACTACTTCCCCGGCCGGCCCTGCTCACTTTTGCAAAAATACATACATTTGGTGTCAATCAACTGTTTGTGCATGAAAATGTGTCCATTGAAAGAGCTGACATTACAAATGATACAACTATCAACTATTATTAATAGTTTATTAATAATAATAATAGTTCATAGAGGTCATCAAAGGTCAACCATCTCCCCCACCTTCTTCAAATCAGGGAAAATTGGTGTCAATCGACTCGACTACATTTGCTGAACAAATGTAGTCGAGTCGATTGAGGGAGGGGGGGGGGGGGGGTTGGGGGGGGGGGTTTGGGGGGGGGGGGGAGGCACCTTCACTCAGGTGAGGGAAAGGCATGTCACCATGGCAACAGCATCAGGCCGGGCCTCACCTTGTTGGACCACTTGTAGGCCTGCAGCAGCTGAGAGTAGAGAGGAGTTTTGTCCTGAACCGGGTCCAAACTCAGCAGCCCGCTGTTATGGAGCGGATGGGACTCTGAGGGTCGACCCACCAGGCCGCTGAGACGCTCCAGCTCACTGCGGGACAGCAGACACCCTGGTTACCTAGCAACCAGGGAACCACGCCCACTGGCCAACACAGGACTTCCTGTCACTGCTTTAGCTAACCCATTAGCCATCTGTTAGCTAACCCATTAGCCATCTGTTAGCTAACCCATTAGCCATCTGTTAGCTAACCCATTAGCCATCTGTTAGCTAACCCATTAGCCATCTGTTAGCTAACCCATTAGCCATCTGTTAGCTAACCCATTAGCCATCTGTTAACTAACCCATTAGCCATCTGTTAGCTAACCCATTAGCCATCTGTTAGCTAACCCATTAGCCATCTGTTAGCTAACCCATTAGCCATCTGTTAACTAACCCATTAGCCATCTGTTAGCTAACCCATTAGCCATCTGTTAGCTAACCCATTAGCCATCTGTTAGCTAACCCATTAGCCATCTGTTAGCTAACCCATTAGCCATCTGTTAGCTAACCCATTAGCCATCTGTTAGCTAACCCATTAGCCATCTGTTAGCTAACCCATTAGCCATCTGTTAACTAACCCATTAGCCATCTGTTAGCTAACCCATTAGCCATCTGTTAGCTAACCCATTAGCCATCTGTTAGCTAACCCATTAGCCATCTGTTAGCTAACCCATTAGCCATCTGTTAGCTAACCCATTAGCCATCTGTTAGCTAACCCATTAGCCATCTGTTAGCTAACCCATTAGCCATCTGTTAGCTAACCCATTAGCCATCTGTTAGCTAACCCATTAGCCATCTGTTAGCTAACCCATTAGCCATCTGTTAGCTAACCCATTAGCCATCTGTTAGCTAACCCATTAGCCATCTGTTAGCAACATGGTTTCAGGAAACAGCCTGGTCCAGCAGGAGAGTCCAGATCGGGTTCTGGATCATAGTTTTCCCTAAATTGAATTTTCTGAAAAACTCCTAAAGCACTAATTTTCAGGTGACTAGGGTTAGGGTAAGGGTTAGGGTACGGTGCAGAGGGTTGGTTTTGTTTTATCAAGATGATTCTTTAAACTTTTACAAACTAAACATCCTAATTAAATCCTAAATACACAATATTTTTTCTCTCTGCTCAATGCATAAAATAAAATTTAATAACATTGTCATTCTCTATAAATGATGCTAGAGGTTTAGATCTATGTTACAACTAGACTATTAATAGGGGCCCCTGATGTCTGGAGGCCCCTGAAGGGCCCCTGCCAGCAGCTACTGAGTTTTCTATATTCCAGTCTTATAATTGTAGATCTAGAGCAGGGGTGTCAAACTCATTTTGGTTTAGGGGCCACATTCAGCTTAATCTGATCTCCAGGGGCCGCACAAATTAACTCATTGCAAGATTAAATAGAACTAATGAAAGTGGACTCGTTGATTTTTATATTAAACAAATTTCACTTTTACAAAAATATATTATGAATAACTTCAGACTTTTTAATATACAATTTCAACAATAATTTTACTCAGTTAAACATTTATTTAAGTGCATTATGCGTAAGAACTGATCGCAGTGATTCTACAAAGTTGCAAAACATTTATTGACAGTTTTTGGAACTTCAAACACTGTCCTGCATGAAAAAATACATCAAACAGATAAAAATTAAGAAATGATTTAAAATCAATTTTCTACATCTGGGAAGCAATTTAAACAAATTAGCGAGCTTCACACATTTGAAATGTTAAGTGTTTTAAACAGACATTTGATTAAGTACATTTGTCGCCTTTCTTGTTGATGCATAAAATATATACATATAGAAAAACTTTCATACATAACATGTATTGCATGCATGAGAAATATTTCACTCAACGAACTGACAATGACTGAGAGCTCTGGCTCGGATGAAATTAACAGTTCGGAGAACCACCTTCATGACATGGTGCATTTTAGCGACTTGCAGCTTAATGCTTCCTGATGCAAAATACAATGAAATGTCCAAAACTCCCCTCCCTTTATTTGCAGCTTGGACTTTCTCTCTGAACTTTGTCACAACACCTGTCTTTGTCCCAAGCATTGACGGCGCACCATCAGTAGCTAGGCTTACGGTGCGGGACCGGTCCACCCGGAGCGGGACCGGTCCACCCCGACTCGGTCCGGCGCTCCAACAACGGAGCGGAAAATGTCTTCAGATGTCATGGTGTCGGTCATGGGCACCAACTCTAGAAACTCCTCTGTGACAGTGAACGTCTCATCAACAGTTGAGCGACATCCGCAGCATCAGTACTCTCTCTCATCACTGGCAACAGAAAATGCCAGAAATGACTCCGTTTTGCGTTTAAGCTGGTTGTCCAAATCTGCAGATAGTTCCGAAATCCTGTCTGCGACGGTATTTCTAGTCAAGCTAATCTTGGCAAAAGCTTGTCGCTTCTCAGGACACACAACTTGAACAGCTTCAGCATGCAGTTCCCTCACAGGAAGGCTTTGATGCTAACGCTATTTGGCTAGCAGTTAGCTAGCTGGCTTTCACCGCAGCATCACTGGCCTCTCGACTCCGGGTGAAAACAGATTGCTGTTTCCTCAGACCGTCAACATTTCATTATCTTCTGATTCTCAGTTCTCCTTGCAAGTGCTTGTATTTTTCACCATGCTGAGTTTCATAGTGGCGGCGAATATTGTATTCCTTAAGCACCGAAACCTGCTGCAGGCACACAAGGCACACGGGTTTTCCATTCACCTCCGTGAACAAATAAGAAGAAGTCCATTTTTCTTGAAAAATCCGACACTGTGTCTGTCTACCTTTCCATTTTTTGAGAAAGACATGTCTTTGATGAGGCTGCCGGGACCAAAATAAAACGCTGATAAAGCGATAGAATCAAAGCTGTTTACAGAACCTGAAGCTCAGTGCTGCCATCTGCTGTTAAATCCGATGTCTGCTCTGAATAAAACTGCGCCCCTCGTGGACAATATAGGAATTGCAGATTTTCAATTAAACGAAGTGTATGTTGTTGTTTTTTTCAATCATAATGGTCCGGCTGGGGGCATTTAGACCCCGGGCCGGACTAAATCGTTCAGCGGGCCGGTTTCGGCCCGCGGGCCGTACGTTTGACACCCCTGATCTAGAGGTTCTAACATAGAAAACATTATATAGAGTTAAACCCTTTGAGCGTTTAGATCTATAAATCATCTGCAGCCAAGTTGTTCTAGAGGTTAAATACATATTAATACATATAATTAGATATTATTAGGGCTTCATTAGTAAAATGGCAGCAAATTAACTGATTTCATAATGTCATAACCTTTGACCTTCTCTGGCCTCTAGTCTCAGAAACTTTATTCCTGTTGGGGGAAATAGACATTTGGTTTGCATGTCCCTCCATGATGGCAGTGATTTAGTAGGATCCAATTAGATTATTGATCAGTATGGGTTGTTCAGTGTTTTTGTTCAATTGGCCCCTTGTTAACTGTGGCCCCCGGCCCTCCATAGGCCCCTGCACGGCCCTGACCGGGACTCATCTGATGTCCAGTAAAGTCCCTGAGAACCTGCCCTTCTGCCCCCCTGCCCCTCCTGCCTGCACTCCTGGGGTCTCAACAGATGTAAACGCGGTTCCGGTCCGGAGCGGCTCTTACTTCAGGTCCCGGTTGACGGCTTGCAGGGTGTCCTGGAACTCGGAGATGAACCGCTTCTCGCGGCCCTCCAGAGTCTCGCGGTTCTTCATTCCGTCCTTCAGCGACTCGAAGACGCGGCTGACGCTGGAGCGAAGCGCCTGGATGCCGCTGATGGCGTGAGAGAAGGCGTCCAGGTTCACCCCCACGGAGATCGGCTCCGCCATCTTGCTGCTGCCGCTGCTTCTCCTGCTTCTGGGCCTCCGTGGCGCTGCAGCACATCGCGCACACTGCCGCCGT